CAATCCTTGTTCGTCGATGGCGAAGTCGCCTTCGACTTTGGACAAGACTCGCTTGGCGCATTCGTCTGTTGCGTAAGCTTTCTTGAGTCTTTCCTCGAGTTCTGTATCTTCGATGACTGAGATCGTCGCTAGTAACTCGTTGTACTGTATTCCTGCATCTGTTTTCTTCAGAATTGCTCTAGGTCTTTCTTCCTTTGGGCCGGCGTAGTCGGTCCGTTTGCTGAGAGCATCTGCTCTTGCATTCTCGGAGCCCTTGCGATAGGTTATCGTGAAGTTGTAGGCTGTGAGGGTTTCTGCCCAGCGGACTTGTCTGCGGTTTAAAACCTTGGTCGTGGTGAAATATATGAGGTTCTTGTGATCCGTCCATACCTGCAGAGGGTAGGTGGATCCCTCAAGATATACTCGCCACTGCTCAAAGGCAACGACAATAGCCAGTAGCTCCTTGTCGTGGATGTCGTAATTGAGTTCCGCGGGTGACAGTTTCCTAGAGTAGTACGCGATTGGTTTGAACTTACCATTCTCGTCTGGTTGATTCAGACATGCTCCAATTGCGAAGTCAGAAGAGTCCATTTCGAGGATGATCTTCTTTGCAGGGTCAAATGTAGCAAGGATAGGTGCTTCCGTGAACTTCGTCTTAAGTTCCTGGAAAGCAGCCTCTGCCTTGTCCGTCCATTTGAATTCGAGATCCTTTCTGGTAAGCTCCGTGAGTGGTTGAGCTACCTTGGAATATCCCGAGATGAATCTTCGGTAGAAGTTGGCGAAGCCTAGGAAGGCTTGCACTTCCTTGACCGTGGTCGGTGTTGGCCATTCCAACACTGCCGTTACTTTTGCTTGGTCCATCTTGATGCCGTGCGTTCCAATAATGTAACCCAAGAATTCGACTTGTTTTTTATGGAACTCGCACTTCTCTGGTTTGAGGAGTAAGCTGTACTCCTTTAGTTTCTTCAGGACGAGTTTGACATGCTTGACATGCTCCCCCTTGGTTGCTGAATACACCAGGACATCGTCTAAGTAGACAATGGTAAAGATGTCTAAGTATTCGTGCAAAGCATCATTCATCAGTCGTTGCATAGATGCGGGTGCGTTTGTTAGCCCAAAGGGCATGGCTTGATACTCGAATAGGCCATAGCGGGTGCGGAATGCTGTTTTCCACTCTTCCCCAGCCTTGATTCGGATCAGGTTGTATGCTCCTCGCAGATCTAGCTTACTGAAGATCTTTGCTCCTTGAAATCTATCGTGTAGTTCGTTGATTAACGGCAGGGCATACCTGTCCTTGATTGTGATGTTGTTCAACGCTCGATAGTCCACACATGACCGTAGGGAGCCGTCTTTCTTTGGTACGAAAAGCACCGGACTTCCTGCTGGTGATGTGGATGGTCTGATGAATCCTTTCGCTAGGTTATCATCGATGTACTCCTTAAGTACCTTCAGCTCCTTTTCCGATAGCTGATATATTGGTCCGAACGGTGGACTCTTGTCTTTCTCCAAAGGTATCTCGTGATCCCATGGTTGGTGCTTAGGAAGCGCCTCGTTCTTAGGCCTTCCTGGAATAATTGCTCGTATTCCTTGTACTCCACCGGTATACTCGTCGGTGAGGATGCCTGAGCTAGGTCATCGAGCTCGGAGGTTGCACATAACTCCTTCCGGCCCTGGGAGGGTTTCTCCCATTGTCGCGTGTCCGTCCGTTGTTCACATGCGCACTGGCTCATCACAACTTTCTCGTTCCACCAGTCGATCTGGGGGTTGTGTTTCTTGAGCCATGGCACACCAAGGATGCACGCATGGTTGTCCATGTGCACGATGTCAAACTGAATCGTTTCCTTGTGCCCATGTAGCATGACCATTTCCAATGGGATCGTTTCGTGGGTCACCATTCCTTCATTAGTCGAGATGGGCTCTCCATCTACGACCATTAACGGGTATGGTTCAGTTTTCAATTGCGTCTTGAAACCTTGTGTGTCTGCTACTTTCTTTGTCATAAAGTTGCCCGTCGCTCCTGAGTCAATCATTGCTCGGAGGTGCCGCTGTTGTATCTTAGCGACCACATATAGTTGCATGCTGCCCGTCGTGGCGCATAGCTGGTCTGTACTAGGCCTCTTCGTGTCGCTCGCCGGTGGCCTACCGTCGAGGACTCCTAGTTTTTTGACTCGTCCGAGGAAGGATAGTATTCATCCGCTTCCAATGGTGGTCCTTGGGGAGATCGTTTCCCTCGCTCTTCTGCTTCATCTAGCAGATGTGGGTATTTCTCGTATACCTGTTTGCTTTTGATAGGCAAGTCCCCTTCAGACTGGCTTCGCCTGAGGGCGTGAACTTGCTCTGCGTCTCTGAAGTGTATCCTGGGCGAGGATCGGGGAAACAACTGATTCTGGTGTTTCTTTTTCCAGTGGAGCTTGCAGTCATCTTCGCTGCAATACTCCCAGTAGACATACGTGTGCCAGGGATGATCAGTCTCTGTTGCGTCTGTCGTTGATAGTTCCCGCTGTCCTCTCACCCATGCACTATCTTCCCTCGGAGGCGTGGAGAACGTGTCTAGTTGCTCCATGGCTCTCCTTTCGATGCGTGGAGTGGGTCTCGCATTTTCCCGTCGGAGCATATCTCTGGCTTTCTCGTCGTACTTCTTCAGGGCTTTCCTGCGGTCCTGGTAGTAAAGTTCGACGCTTTTCATATACTTCAGTTTAGCCATATGCTCGACATCCTTCTCCAGTTCTTCCGCTTCTTGGGCTTCCAACTTAGCTACGTCTGGGGACGTGCCAAGCAGCCTGCGGGTATTCGTTAGTTGGTCATAGTATCTCCAGAGGTCATCCTTGCAGTCGTCCACCTTGCACTCTAACGGAAGTCCCTGTAACAGGTTCCCGTAGTCGCAGTTAAAACAGAGTCGTTCCGTCTTCTGGGGTGCTTTCGCCGTTTATTCCCCAGTCCTGTTTGTTCACAAATGTTGCATTCAACTGTCCTGTCCAGGTGGCATTGAGTTGTTTGCCAACTTTGCGTCCGCCGTTCCCTTTCTTTGGCTGTCTGCAGTCTCGGGCCATGTGGCCTGGCTTGTCGCAGTTAAAACAGAGTCGTTCCTTGAATTGTCTGTCTTTCTTAGGGTCACGGGGTCGTCCAGGTTTGAATGTGGCATCGAGTTCCATTGGGTCCGACCAACGGTTGTCTCGCGGGTGTTGATCCCGTCGTCTGCCCTCGTTTCCCCGGTAGGGGTAACTTTTCTTGCGCTTGTCATAGGTCCAACGTTCCCTCTGGAATTCGTATAGTCGATTGTCGATTCGGACCGTATGTTCGATTAGCGCTACCATGTCCGTTGGTTGTTGTTCCAAACGGGCAAGTTCCATACGTATATGGCTCTTCAGCCCACGTCGGTAGTGGCTGATGAGTGCGCTGGCGTCCCATCCTGTCTGATTGCCATATCTCTGGAATTCTGTGGAGTACGTGAGGGCGCTGCCAGTCTGCTTAAGTGCAAACAGATGGTCTTCCGCGGTCTTAATCTCATCGATGTCTCCGAACATGCGTCGGATTTCCTTACAGAATCCTTTCCAGCTGCCAAACATAGTCTGCGTAGTTGCCATGCTTCCATTGGTACTTTCATATTTGAAATAATCCTTGAGGAATGGTTCGATCCATCGCAGGGCTTTCCCCCTAAGGTAGGACGCAGTCCACAGGGCATAGCTCTCCTGGGTGGGAAACTTCTTGTCATTGAAGTGCTGGTACAGTTCGACCTGTAGCAAAAACACCTCAAGTTCCTTTCGGTTGCCGGAGTAAGTGTCGGGCAACTTGACGCGTAGAGTTTCCTTGAGTTCGTTGACGGTGGGTGCGTCGGGCATCTCTTCATTCTCAGGCTTAGACCTCTGAGACGAAGTTGGCGTGGTGGGGGTTTTTCCCTTCGAACTGACGACAGACATGTTGCTTTGTGTATGAGCCAGTGCCTCGTAGAAGTGGTGCTCAAAGTGTAACGCTGACTTCTAAACGATAGAAGACACAGAGGTTCTCTTGCGTAAAGGTTTACTTATCAGAGGAGGCAGGGGATCAGACACAAAGGCTTCAAGTAACACGTTACTAGTATATAACAAATACTGTATTGAGTTGAGCACGAAGCTCCTATCTAAGGAAATACTATCTACTTATATAGTGGCGTCGTGCCTAGTGGACTCTTGGGAACTCACTCGAGTCCTCGGAGTCCTGGACTCTTAGGACTCTTCTCATCATCCTGCGAGTCCATCACGTGCCTAGTGGACTCCTGGGAACTCACTCGAGTCCTCGGAGTCCTGGACTCTTAGGACTCTTCTCATCATCCTGCAAGTCCGTCACGTGATACTTTCGGAACTACTATTCCCCGCTGCCCCTCCAGGTACCAGGGCCGGTCTCATGCGACCTCCCTCCTTCCTGTCCTGTAGTTGGCCAGCCTTCTTGTTCCGTCGTAACACTGGGTGCCCTGTGTCCTTACATCTAGGATCATTTGATTATAGGAAGGGGAAGATATTCAAAACACTTCGGAAGATGAGTACAAATCTTCAGTCCACCCTTCCTTGGGCTGCTATATTCTTCTCTCTCCTCGCTGGGCGATTCATTACCTATCCACAACAACGACGAAGTTGGTCGCCATTCATCACTGCACCTCAACGGTGACACCTGTACGTTCTTTATGCCGTCGATTTATGGTGCTACAAAATCTAATATCTCGACGAGACATCCCGCAGTTTGGTCAACGCGCGGGGTGTATCCTAGCCCAGATCAATTATCTGGGGCGGGTATCCTTACGTCGACATGGCCCGCACTAGAGTGAAGAAACACGCCCAAGGTATGGACCAGCTAGTTGCTATCCGAGTACCAATTAACTGCTGTCAGGAAAGCTTGCCCAGAAGAACATATTGCGTTAGCAATCAGCAGATATCACGACTCAGACCTCCTCGACAAATTACAACGCAGTCCCCCCAGGAGGTCAAGCCCATAACACCATTTCAAAGCGGGGAAGTCCGCGGGTCACAGTCCCCCCAGGAGGCGAAGCCCATAACACCACCTCAAAGCGGGGGAGTCCGCGGGTTGTATGAATGCATGGTCGACTACGATCACCAACCGTTTTCTATCACTTGGTCGGGTTCGCCTGAGGGTACTTGAGACAATTGACTCACCGGGTTCCCCCATCTGTGACCTTGCAAGGTTTCCCGACCTTAAGAATGTCAGCGTTCATTCAGTACATCAAAATTCCGAAATAGCTGCAATCTGGAGAGACTCGACGATAGTTGATTACGGTGCTTATGCGTCCATTCGAGTCACCGAGCACGGTCGATTTCCTATTCTCAAGCTTGCCCACCAAGACGAGCTGTCTATCAAGCTCATTCAACATGAAATCGACGTTCTCGCTGACTTGGCGAAGCTCGGACTTTTCATTGTTGAATTCGACCAGCAGCCAATTTTGGACAATGGAGTCATTTGCGGCTACCGAATGAACAGGCTCTTCAAAGTCGAACTATCTGAGCTACGTTCGCGAACGGACGACATCAAGCAAACACTGGATCGGCTCCATACTGCAGGCTTCAGCCATGGGGACTTTAGTCCCAGCAACATCATGAAAGACGCGGATGGCCATATTATCTTGATTGACTTTAGCTTTGCAGGCCGATTAGGAAGCGAAGTCCCGTCTTTTTTTCCAAGGGTCTATGCGGACGGTATATATGGAACTAATTCTGATTTGGAAGCATTTGGTAGATACGCAGCCCCAATATAATATTCGCTCCCTCTGTCCTAAGGTTTATGGTCACTGCACCAACTCGACCAATATGAAATCGGTTCCTCCGTGACACCCTTGCAACCGGGTGTCCCTTTATCCTTGCAGGATTCGACCCCGCCAACTTTAACCACACACCCGCAGTTCGCCCATTTTCTAACTTTTTGTACACACATTGGAATCGGAAATAGCGGAGACCTTATAGTTTCAAACGAGCAAAGTGTCTGGAGGCGTACAGGTCTACCGGAATAGAGCGAAGAGATGTTTTCAGAGGTACTGGCTGTTGTGTGCTTGAGGCGAATTGTGTTGGATGCAAAGTCTGGGAGGAGAGAGTTTCGTTGAGACGTCGGGCAATGATGAGAACAGTAGATCTGTGGAAGAAAGACGGAGTAGGGATTTGGCACTCTATATAGGAAGGAATCTGAAGGTCACCAACAACCTAAAATTCTCACTCATGTAAGAGCGGGCATAATTGGGTGACAGTGAAAGCCGGCTCAATGAGTCAATTGCGTTCTTTTCAGCAGCGGGCTGAATGAGGAAGCACGAAGTCCCAAACTACACCGGTGTGCCATGCAGCATCGGCGTGACATACCCTCAATTCAAATGGCTCTTCCACGCTGCAAAACGCCACCATCCCCGTCACCTGCGTAAGCAGAAGAAGACAGTGATCTTTCCCGTGCTGTCACGCCTGAAACCTGCCAGTCGTGTCACGTGTTACGTTCTCGATTACATAAGTCATGTCTCAGATCAAGCTGTAGTAGGGTATAAGTGCAAGACCAATGCCCCTTCAAATATTCACACAGTCCTCGACATCTCATCTTCAATTACGACCGTAGCAGCACAGCCAGCAAATATGAGCAAGGCCCGCCATTTCTTGAAGTTCAAAACATTAGAAGTGCCTGGCGAAGCATCCCAAAGAGAATCTCTGCTTAGAGATCACTTCTATCAGCACATCAACAGACAATTGACCGACCAAGACTATGTCCATGTTCCGGGATTGATCGATTCGCCGGATAATAAATCTGCATGGATAGTCTTCGATATCAATGTTGGGGATAAAGACCAGGACTTAGCAAAAATTCCTATACACTGTTGGAGAGTGAAGTATAATGATGGGAACCCGTAAGTTAGCTGCAGCATTATGCATTATCTTCATTTCTGATCCTACTCAGTCAATTTTACTCGTGCATGGCCGGTGTGCAGTACTACAATCATATGCTCAGATGGGGTGGCACAAGTAATTTTGAGTATAGAGGTAGCGCTTTGATCAAAGATGCTATTGTGGTAGACAGGTGCTAACAGACGAATTTGAATCGCACGGTTTTGCACTTGGGTTGAGAATAGTCTTTCAATTCCATCTACAGGCAGCTCAAAAGCACCAGCCACTCTCCCTGCTAACTGGAAATGAGCTGACGGTGTGTTTAATCGGAATCAGGTGGTGTTTCCCCTTTGCAAGCAGGACAGTACGTGTCGGTCGTGTCTCTCGGATCATGGATTCTTTCGCGCGGGGGGGGACAGGAATCGGTGGTATTCAGATGAATTGCACATTTAAGAATATCAGTTGTGTGAAAGTGGCCACAAAGACGGTGTAGCCAACATTTATCTCCGCAGACCATCTAGTTCTGTTAGTTCAAGCAATAGTATTTCGATTTCAACACTTACCGTTGCAAAGTTCCAATAGGAAGTAGAAGAAGTGCGTAAACGTACGTTGCTGTCGAGACTGAAGGACACTGGAATGCAGTTTCGATAGTTGACGGAACTGATCCTTTTATAGGAAACTGCCTTTTATATAATCCAGTGGGCACTTATTACCAACTCTCTGAAAATAGATGGGTAGCCTTGTTGATTTTTCGATCACGTGGGTAGTGTACGCACTGCACTGGATATGCATATGAAGGGTAGTCAATCGAAAACGCGCGCGACCACGCCGATGATACTACGGCATGAGTTAGAGATATTTATGCGGCTCCTTTGGGTGCGACATTCCGGTGACACGATAACCGCATTGTAGATTAGGTAGAAAATCAGGCGGTCAGGCAACGAACGATACTATAGAGTGAGGGGTATAGTGTGAGGGGTTGTATTTGGTTTCTACGTGACGATTTCACTTCCAGCTGTTCAATAAGATGATAGATTACCACCTCCCTAACTTGAGGCTAAGTTTCCAGCCTTATGGGCCACGGTTGGGTAGGTCGCTTCGTTCATGATATGATATATTGTTGTGTAGATACCAAGACTCATCTCCTTCCCTCCTATCTCCCCCTCAAAACCCTTTCCCTCTCCACTTGTATGCCGCTATAACTCCGACGCCGGACAATGCTCGCATTTCAAGAAGAAGATAATATATAAAAAATCGAATAATTTAGCAGTATATAGCTAGCCAGTTACGCGGTGGCTGTGTTGGCCTCGACACCTAGCTCGAAGCAACAGCAAATGCAAAGTCTCAATGTGTAATTTCGAATAATTACAATGTTTGGAAGGTGGGATTGTTGGTCATAATCGTGACCGGCGCGCACGATTCGGCCATACGTGATCTCACACGATATGGAATTCCCTCGCCATAGGCGAGTTAGACGATACCGTACCCACGTGATGCAAGTGCATTCTATTTTGTATATACACGGCTGCTTCAACCTGCCGCACACATAGTCGTATTGCATACACATCGAAACTTTGGCGATATGGAAGTGCTCAATCACTACCCCTCCAACCCCGCGCCATTTCAGGATTTGCGCTTTTTCCGTCAACCCGCGAAGAAAAGAACAGCACCGGCAACTCGAATTTGTACATCTCTAATTGTGTAGGGTAAGTCAATACAGTTCTATTTCAATACCATAACCTCAACAGCGATAGGACATACATCCGGATTTCCAACATTGGTGTAGTTGACCAATTCCCAACTGAAAACCTGCATCTGCGCTGTGCGCCAATAATCCAAGGCTATCATCAAACACCATGTCCTCTCCAGGAGAACATCTATATCAGGAGCGGCTTAATGACAAAGCAAATGAAGTGCTGAAGGAGCTTAAGGATCTAATTTACTTGAGCAACAGAAGTTCAAAATGTTAAGAAAGAATTTATATCTTTGCGAAGACGAACCTACTTTGTTCGATATTGTTAAGCGACTGATCAAGGAGCTGGATTTCATTAAGACCAAGGTAGTACATCTTCCACATCATGACTATTGCTGAAACTCGAAGGATCCTATACCTGGATACAATGCTTTCCGCATTCCCGACCGAGCCTTTCGAATCTCCAACAATCTCTCTATCTCGTCGGCAAAATTGGAAGACTGTGTGTACAGTTAACAACCTTCCAACAAATATGATTGAGTATGATGTTGATGCACTCAATCATATTTGTTGGAAGGTTGTTAACTGTACACACAGTCTTCCAATTTTGCCGACGAACTGCACTACGATTCATCCAGACTATAATAAGTCTAAGTCGTGCAAGTGCAGCGAGGCCTGATGGGAAAGGGGTTCCCTTTGCCATAGCGTTGCAAGTATCAACTGCAGTCTTCATATCCCCTGACTTTAAACTTTGTAAGATGTCTTTCACAATTAAATTGAGAACATGTGCAAGACAGCGTACATAGCTAGCATCTCCTTCGAAGCGGATAGAGAGGTTTGGCTCCTCAATATATTGTGTAATGTCGTTATGAGATAGTAGCTCATATAAATGAGAACATAGTGTGCCATTGTTATCCGCATTATCTGCAGTGATCGCAAGTAGCTTTGAATTAAGATTCAACTCCTGACATAATGAGAATATCATTTCAGCCATATTCTCTCCACTATGTCATCCAGGGATCTCTGCAAACTCAACAACTGACTCATGATATTGAAAGTCTTTTGACAGCCAATGGCAAATTACACCTAGCATTCCACAATGATTGGTACTTGTCCATGCATCAAGTGAAAAGGCAATAGTAGAGCACTCAACATCTAGCTGATTCTGTAATGTAGTGCGTGACTCTTGAAAGTATTGAATGATGCGTGATTTCATTGTTTTTGCAGACTTGAACTTGAGCGCAAAATTAGGGATGCTGCGGAAAATTTGACGGAAAGACGGTGCTTCAATGGCAGTAAAAGGTTGTTGAGTCTGTACAATCCAATGTGCAAGATTGTATTCAAATTGTTCTTGGCTATTCCGTTGCGTAGATGTTGGAGGGGGCATCGTCATTGCTGATGATAGGAATGATGCGATACTTGCTTGCTCACTTGATGATGCTGTAAGGCCTTGTCCGTCCTTGTAGACATGATGCGATTTAAGGTGTGTAATCATATTAGATGTTGTTCCTTGTCGCTTTGAGTCGCTGTAAACCCCAGAGCAATGAAGGGTCTTGCAGGTCCAAACACGCTCAATTGGTATCATCTTCTTACTTGACTTATATAGCCATGGCTCTGCAAGTTCTACCATATCAAAATGAGTGTACACCCAGCTACTTTGCCCTATTAGCTCCTTATTCACTCGTTGAATTAAGGGGGTATACTCAAGAGCACTTGAGTAGGGAGTATTTGTAGTAATGGTATTTTTCTCTTCTGTATGTAGAGGGTGTGAGGCTTGAACTTGCGAAGCTGAATCATGTGGTGAGATATTATCATCTTCTTCTCTTAAAAGTGATAAATCTTGAGAGATTTGGGCTTGTTTTTGGGATTTCGTGGTCGTTTAACTTGTGATACGACATCAGAGTCATATTCTTCATCACTTCCATCATTTAATGTATGAAAATCAATTTCTCGATGACGTGTGCGCCGTGCTAGGGGAGAATTAGACAGATTCATATTTAGATAATATGAATATATCCTAAATAGAGCGAAGAATAAAAAAGAGAAGTTATGGGTGTTTTGTCATGATTATAACACAAAACAAATATAACTTACCCCTCCTTTTTACGGCCTCAATTATGGCACGTGCATACTGCTAAGCATTGCCAAGCATTCATGAATATATTCACGAATATTCATGAATACGATGAATATGAATATGAATAGTTTTAATCTTCTATGAATATTATCACAGATTGAATATAAGGACCTTCAAAACCCACGAATACGGATACGGATTGAGAAAAACCTCACGGATTTGCATCCGTATCCGAGCCCTAGGTAGTATCGGCTCTATGCTGCTGTAGTAAATGTAATACCTGCTCGTTGTCTTGTAATTTTGCTCCTTCTGTGATGCCGGTGCCTCCTCTAGCCTCATTGTTGCTGGGTGGTCGTTGCAAGGTTGGAGGAGTTGACCTATCACTTCCTGATTAGGTAAGGTTTGTGGGGTAATGGGTACGATACTGTTGATAGCTGCGCTAGTAGTGACGTTCCGCGGTACGTCACTACTGACTTAAAATCTCTGGCTCAGAATACTTGAATGCTCCTTGGAGCAGGAGCCGAATGGTCGTGTTGATTGACTCGCGCATCATCAAAGAACGCTCAACTGAGCATCCATTTAGTTCCTCCACCCACTTCTTAAAAAGCCTATCTCAATAATCAGAATAGAATCAAATAAATAAGGGGAGGACAACCTACTTATGCTTGTCCTCGCAATGGAGAACATTGCAGCTGAAACTATTTCCATACCTCCCAATTGTATCGTTGATATGGGCTCCTTGGTGGACGTTCGGCCGGCTGCGCCATTTTATATAATCATTGAGGGATCCTGATGCTGTTTTTAAATCCATCATACTGGTAACCAGTTCGAATTCTTGTTGCACCGACTGCTCGATTGAATCTATAACACTGCAGAAATCCTCGGTAGCTGTTGTCAACACTTGGTGGACTAACTGATGGCGTTAGAGATGCGTTCCCCTTTCCTTTCCCTTTTCCCTTGCCTTGGTTCCGAACTTTCATCTGTGAAGCCAGAGATGCAGCATTGCAGAGCCCCCGATACATGCTACGGCCCTCAAATATTGCCTTCTCGGCATCCTGGTGCTGTCCAGGCTTCATCCTCCATGCGCAAGTGGTTGCATTCGACTTGGCTATCGATGCAAAAGCAAGCACAACAAGCTGTTCTGGCATCAGCTTTAATAGTCTCAGTTTCGTTCGGAATTCAGATTGCATGGCCTTATAAAACCTCCACTCAAAATCTTCCTTCTCGAGTGGCATGCATCACAATATCAGGGGCGTTTGCATCGAGGCCATCCCAGCCTCAGAGAGGCTCCAGGATTTAAGATGATGAAGGGGCGACTGTCGTCGTCCCCATCTTGCTGGCGATGGGAACCTTGTGAACTCTCTAAAGTATTTTGAAGTCCCGATTTTGACAGTATTGCCGTTGTGAGGAGAAGCTGGAATTGCTTCCCTTGCCCGCCATATTCTGAATGACACACATCCGGAGGCCGACTCAGCACAATATCAAGCGCTGGTGATATTTTGAACAACGCAGGCTCGGTTTCACGCATCCCCCATTGCTGGTACCATGCCTTCTTTTTTGCAGGAGGAAGTGTGCTTCCATGCTCTCGGAGCTGGACTTGGTGATGGTGGTATCGGCCAAGCCTCATGTAGTCAAAGTGGATGTCTCCATGCATTCTGGCGTAGTATCCCGGCATTATCGTTCTGCTGGGGCATGTCCCCAATATATCCTAGCATAAAAGCCATAACCAGCTTTTCCTCGCCATTGATATTAAGGGACATGCCCCTATCCAGCTTTGGGAGGTCCAAAATGGACAGCAGAACATCATCCAGGTTTGACCCATGCAGTCCAAGAGTGATCACAAAGACATTTGCACAATGCATCCGCATCTTAAGGGGCTAGGCAGCTGTAACATACACACCAGTCATTGATCGGTACATATTGCGATACAAACCAAAACCATCAATGAACATGAGCCATGGGACTGAGATAAAGCCTTGTTCGAGGGCTTTAACTATCCATTCTCGCCCGTAGGCCTTCAGTTCAAGCTCCGCCACATGTGGGTGGGATTGTGCAGCCGGCCGTATCTCTTCGTGCATGGTGTTCAACACCCTTCTGATTTGTGACTGTGGTTTGAAGCCATGATTCTGTTGACCTAGAATCCCATTCCCAAACGTGTAGTCTACCGTTATATCAAGCTGCTGGACTAAATTCTTGGGCAAAACAAACTCGAAGTCATCTTCGGATAAGAGCTTCTCAAGGCGAGTCAGTGGGACTGGCAATTCAGACCCAATGTTTCTGATCTTTGGTGATAACTCAGCTGTTGAATAGACCATCTGGATCTTTACAACTGGCTTGCCTCTCTCGATGGCATCTGTTCTTTTATCGATTTCAATGCTATAAACTCGGCCAACTCGGAAGCCACCTTTCTTCTTCGAGTTATACTCCACAAACTCAGAGCAGATAACTGGTAGCCTATCGGAGAATGTAATATGCTCTCCAGACGTTGTCCGGAGTGAGCAAAGCCACACGTCACTTTCCCATATCTCGTTTGGGGTATCCACGAATGCCCCGAGTCCCTTCCAGAAGTCCTTGTGGAGGTCTTCCACTGACAATATTGCAGTTACCAATGTTGCAACATCAAACCAGTGTGCATCAGCCTGGCGGTCCTTTCTCGGGCCTGTCTTCTCCGCCGGCGTCATTGTCGGGAGCTTCTCTTGGTTGAGATCAACCATCTTGTGCCGTAGTGGGAGCAATGGCAGTTGCGCCATAAACTGTTTCTTTAGAGTTGTAACATCTCGTGGCAACTCTACTGCTTTGATGTTAAGATCTTGTCCGAGAGGTAATCCCTCATTAGGATCTTGATAGGCCTGCCGGGACAGATTGTACTTTTCGGCCCACATGGCCATGAACGCCAGGTATGGGCTGAATGGCTGTGATGATCGGTTGTGCTGGACAAGCTCAGAATCATCTTCGCCGAGGATGGAAGCGTGTTCAGCGGCGGCTGGAACGGGGGGAGGGGGCATCCTCAAGTCATCAGGAAGGAAGTCCTCTATAGGGATCTCTAGCACAAAGACGTCGTTTCTGGCAGTGTCAGCATATGGAACTGTCGTGGCAGGATCATCCACAGGAATGTGGCCTGAAAGATCCTGGATTGCTTTCTCGGTGATTTCCTGGAGATCTTGGGGTTGGGGCAGGGGCATGTCGATATCGGAATCGCTGTTGCTGCCAATTGTGTTATAGTCATTATCATAGTCATCACTAGCATCGCCATTAATCATAGCGTTAAACTGTATACTTGTATCTGATGGCTGATCTCCATGGTTTCCTGCCTGTATACCTAATGCATTATGTCCACCACTGTCGACTGCTGGTGCACTGGGCCTAGGGATTGGAGCTCGGAACAAATGTGCCCTCTTCTTCAGTCGAGATCGCAAGGGTCGAGGAGGCATTGCCAAAGATAGCCAGCTATGGCTGACCTATGTATTGGGTGGTTGCAGTCGACCAATCTTCTGGTTTTTGGCTCAAGTCCGGTTGCACCCAAATCCACTTTATATTTCCAACCTCCAAATGAGGTGTTTAAGATATCTTGGATTTTTCCAGGGCTAGGAAAGCCTGGGAAGCTCTGAGCAAAATTCTGTTTGGGGGGGGGGGGACTGTTGATGAAGCACAGCATGTGTCAGCTGACCACCTTGGAGACGTGGTTTGACAGGAGCTAAGAGTTCTCAGCAGCAAGAGATTTGAATGTCCTCGAGGAGCTGAGATGTGGTTTAGCGACAGCTCACAATGCCTGGGATGTTTTGGCTACAGCTCACAATGCCTGGGTGTAATGGTGGGTGCACCAGATGTGAGAATCTAGCCACCCAAGGAAGGGATGATTTTACTAAGACAACACACTGTCTTAGGAAACAGAGCCAAAGGGTTGTAGCTTAGACTATTCCACAACGCAGCAATCAGGTGTGTGATGTAGTGAAGTGGTTCAGACAAGTTGCAACAAATGTTGAGTCTGGGAACTCAGGGGTAAGTCAGAGGTTAACACCTCACTGACTTTTCAGAAACAAGGAGTAACAAGATGAATGCTTGGAAGCTTGTAAAAGACGTGGAAGTATGTGATAGTCGATTTACTGTATTGCCTGCTTGCCCTTTCTTAAGGAAAGGGCAATCCTATTTATGCCAAAGGAGTGTAGTTCTCTCATTTTCCATGACTTTCCATGACTAACCAGGCTTGGTAAATGTATTAGAAATCAAGTGCGACCCACAACTAGCTTGCTAATCATGTAGTGAACGTAAGAGAATCCCATAGAACCATCTCTTGGGTTCCTAGCCTATAGGAAGTGAAAAGGAGGTCCAAGGTCATAGCACCTATAGTTAATTATGTCATAACTTAACCAATCTTGTGGATAACTAAGGAGCGATGACATGTAATGAATCATAGAGGGTTGTAGAAGCTTCTAGAGCTATCGTTCATGTTCCTAGGCCTCTAGTTGGTAGAGATATGCCATGTGGTAGTATTGGCCCACCCCCTTAAGGAGGAGATTTTCTTAATAACTTGTTCAATGAGTGTCCAAATGATATGCCGTGATGTATGTAGCATAAACAGATTAGGTTTGAGGAGGAGATTTCTAAGTTTGCTCTTGAGTTTGATAGCAAACTGAGTGCAACGAATGTCAGTATGACATGATCCCCCTTTTAAGGACGTTTGTTGGCTGTCTGCTTGCCCTTTAGCCAGGTGGCTTTCTTAGAAAGAAATTCTAGAATGAGCTTAGATGCATTTTTTAGATTTCTCTTAGGCTCCCAAGTGTTGTCACTTGTAGGATAACCTTTCCACTTAACGAGGAAGTAGTCCTGACCTCTAAGTGTCTTTTTGTCAAGGATAGACTCTACTTCATATTCTGGTTGATCCAAGATCAGAACAGGAGGTGGAGGAGACTGAAGTGGTCTTAAGGAACTTTCTTGTGCCTTAGACAAGAGAGATGCATGGAAGACATTATGGATAGTCCAAGTAGGTGGTAATGCAAGCTCGAAAGCATTCTTGCCAATAGTCCTTGTGATCTTAAAAGGTCCAAGTCTTTTAGTATCAAGTTTGTCTGAGGGTCTAGTAGTTGTGATATGTCTTCTAGACAAAAAGACTTTATCACCAACTTTGAATTGTGGTGCAACCACACCCCTGTGAAAGGCCTGAGCCTGCTCGTCTTGTGCACGCTGTATTTGAACCTTGAGATAGTCCTGGAGGCCCTTAAGGTAGATGATTCTTTCAGTAGCAGAAGGGTTTTTGAAATTTTCAGGACAATTCAGTTCTGCCACTTCAAACCTAGGGTGATAACCATAGTTTGCATAGAAAGGTGTCTCTTTTGTGGTGTTAGAGACTGTGTTGTTGTAAGCAAATTCTGCAAGATGGAGAAGATCTGCCCAGTTGTCTTGAGCATAGTTTGTATAAATTCTTAGATATTGTTCAAGTACAGAGTTGACTCTCTCTGTCTGGCCATCTGTTTGAGGGTGATAAGCTGTAGAGAAGCGTTGTTCCATGTTTAAGAGTTTAGAGAACTCCTTAAAAAAGTTTGAAGTGAAAACTGCTCCCCTATCTGAGATCCAGTGTCCAGGAATTCCATGATATTTAAAGACCACCTTAAGGAATAGCCACGCAAGTTCAGAAGCTGTGATAGTCTCATTGCAAGGCTCAAAGTGTGCCATTTTTGTGAGCCTTTCTACCACCACAAGGATAGAGTCATAAGGGGTAGCACCCCCTTTTGGGATAGAAGGAGGCAACTTGACTATAAAGTCAATGGATATGGAGTCCCATGGGCGTTCTGGTATAGGTAGAGGCTGCAAGAGGCCATAGGGCTTTTGCCGTGTAGGTTTGTTCAAGTTGCAAGTAGTGCAAGAAGATATATAGTCTTGAAGAGTAGTCCTTAGACTAGGCCAGTAGAACTTTCTTGTTAGAAGTTCATAAGTTTTTGCAAAGCCAAAGTGCCCTGCAGCTGGAGCATCATGGAACTGCTGTAGGAGGTGTAGCTGTAATCGTTTATCCCTTGGGACATAGATATAGTTCTTGAATAAGAGAAGTCCATGCTGATTTTTTGAGAAATTCTGTAGTCCAACTTTCTCAAGAGAGGAACCTTTCTTCTGGAGGTATTCCAAAGTTCTTTTCGCAAAGGGATCATGGTTGTAAGCATCTTTGAATGCTTTAAGAAGTGTTGCTGAGGGTGTATAGTCTTTAAAGGTCTCTGGTTCCTGAGAAGAGGTAATGGGGGCAACTTGGTCTTGAGGGGATAAGTTTACCCCTAAGTCCTCTGTAGTACTAGGGTTGCTTAAAGATGCTGCTATAAGCTTTGCTGAGTCTAGCAGAGCCTTTGTATTGCTAGTTTTAGCAGAATCTTGGTAGTCATGTCTTCTTGAGAGGAGATCTGCTCTTTGATTCTTGGCCCCTGAGACATGTTTTATAACAAAGTCAAAACCTCCTAGTTGTTCAGACCACCTTGCTTGTCGTCTATTGAGCTGTTTAGTGGTTGTAAAGGTCAAGAGGTTTGAATGGTCACTGTAAATAGTGATAGGATAGTTTGCCCCTTCAAGGTAGCATCTCCAATGCTTTAGAGAACATACTATGGCAAGCAGTTCCTTGTCTGTAATGGGATAGTTTTGTTCAGCTGCTGATAGCTTTCTTGAGTAAAATGCCACAGGCTGTAGCTCTTCTTGTTTGTCTTTTGGAGCTTGGTATAAGATTCCAGAAATAGCAAAATCTGAGGCATCTGTCTCAAGAGTGGCAGGTTTCAAGGGGTTAAAGTGTAGTAACATTTTCCCTTCTTTAAATTCTCCTTTAAGAGCATCGAAAACATCTTGCTGTGTCTTATCCCAGTGATACAAAGTGTCCTTGTGAAGTAATTGAGTAAGGGGTAAAGCCAAGGATGTATATCTTGGTATAAACCTCCTGTAATAGTTGGCAAACCCAAGGAAAGACTGAACCTCTTTAATGCTGGAAGGAATAGGCCACGTTTGTACTGCTTTTGTCTTTTCAGGGTCCATCTGAATGCCTTCTGTTGAAATTCTATGTCCCAAGAAATCAACTTGAGACATATGGAAAAGACATTTCTCAAGTTTGCAAAAGAGTTGTGCTTGAGATAGCTTCTCTAAGACTTGTCTAACATGTAGAACATGCTCTTGAGTGTCTAAAGAGTATATAAGAATGTCGTCTAAGTAGACAACAACAAAGATATCCAAGTAAGGTCTTAGAATATCATTCATGAGAGCTTGGAAAGAAGCAGGTGCATTGGCAAGCCCAAAAGGCATTACCTGGTATTCAAAATGACCATAGCGTGTTCTGAATGCTGTCTTCCACTCATCAGCTTCCTTGATGCGTATCAGGTTATAAGCTCCCCTGAGATCTAACTTGGTAAAGATCCTTGCTGAAGAGAGCCTATCTATGAGCTCAGGGATAAGGGGTAAAGCATATCTGTTTTTAACAGTGACTGCATTAAGGCCCCTATAATCAACACAGAGACGCAAGGAGCCATCTTTCTTCTTGACAAAGAGAATGGGAGCTCCTGCTGGTGAGGAAGAAGGTCTGATAAAGCCAGAACTAAGGTTCTCATCTAGGTATTCTCTGAGAGTTTTCAGCTCTAATTCAGATAGAGAGTAGATAGGGCCGTAGGGAGGCATTGAGCCTTCTGCGAGTGGTATCTCATGGTCATAAGGCTGGTGCTTTGGCAGAATTGATGCCTTTGCCTTGTCAAAAAGATGTTGGTAGTCTTGGTATGCTAAAGGCAAAATGACCTCCTGAGATGATTTCTCCAAATCTGAAGTAGCTGCTATCTCCAGGACAGGTTGGAAAGGTTTCACCCATATCAGAGATGATATATCGTCCATAGTTTGGTCAAAATCCTTGATCTGGGACAAGTTTGAGTCTTGGACCTGAATAGGGGTAACTGAGGCTTGAAGGGTTTTTTCAGTATTGAGCTCAGGATTTGAGCTAAACCCAAGCGATAAATGCTTCCAATTGATGGTTGGATCATGCCTTTGAAGCCATGGAAGACCTAGGATGACTGGGTACTTCATTGGTATAACATCTAAAGAGATGGTGTCTGAAAATGTTGATTTTCCTAGGGGAATCTCAAGTTTGAGTACTGGGGTGTTGCAGGTAATGGAACCTGAACTGATAGGAGTTCCATCAATGACTCGGAGCAACTCTGGAGTGCGTTTGGGAATTGTAGGTAACTGGTGTGTCAAGATGAGGTCTTGAGATATAAAGTTGCCTGTTGCCCCTGAGTCTATCATAGCCCTTGTAGATAACACCTGTTGTTTGAAATGGAGTTGAATAGGGATTAACAGGTGTGTGAAACTCTGAGAAAGCACCATCGACACATCTTTGTTGTCTAGGGGAGAAGTTATAGTCTCAGTTGAAGTTGTGCCTGCTAGGGATTTTTCAAGTTTTTCAGGAATAGCAGTTGTGACTGTGTCT